ATCCGTCCTGGCTGCAACGCTCTCATTACATAGCTGGCTTTATACTGAGTTTTGGATCACGGGAGGTGGTTAGTATATGTCCTCCTGCGACCATAAAGAGAACTATGGGATAAAAAGGTTACACCATAGTTCTCTTTTTAAGCTTGTAGAATTAAGAATTTCCGACCAAGAAGCACACTACTAGATTGTTCACGTGTTCTATAAGTTTTGCCAGGTGCATGTTCAAGCCTCATTTGATGCCAGCTTCAGGTGGCTCTTAGAGCTGCAAGTGGTCCCCAGTTTTGTTTTTTGTGCGTCCCGCAGTGTTTTGTTGCTGATTTGTTTTTGTAGTACATTTGAGGGACACAGATCCCATCCTCATATGAATGTCCTCTTGGCACTGCTTTTTCACAAAATTCTGGCATGCTGGCAGGAAGTTATTCTAGGCTGGCAATTTATTTTATGGATTACCAGTTTCCAAATCCTCCTGCAGCTAGTATAACCCGACAGTATCTGATTTCCTGTGTTCCTTTTTAAAATGCTGTCATGAAATTGGTTGGTTATTTGCACATTTTAAATGTAGTTTAGAAACAAACATTGAATGTGTTTCATAAACAAGAGGTCCATACATTTTAACAGATTTAATAACATGTTTTTAATTTACAGTGTTTCATAGCAGTATAAGCTGCTTTTACTTGTAACAGGCTTTTTATACCCTGCCAGCAGACATAATCTTTTAATACTGCCAAGAAAATGTTTCCATTAATGGATAGCAATGCTTTTTGATGATCTTCTCTTGATATACTTCAGCTAGTTGATGTAAAAAATACAAAGCTGACCTTTTTGCATTGTGATAGACCTAGATGGAAAGCTCCATATGAAGCAATACATTATTGGAAGCAATCTCTTCCCTTTTTCCATAATGTTTCACAATGAAATGGCTGTGTAGAAGATAAGATGGTTAGTGGGAATTGCCTAATTTAACATAAAACAATTCTCTAGTTTCAGCTTTGCTATGCATTATGTTTTATGTAAATTGACTGACATTTAAAAGGAAAGTTCTGCTGGTTTCAATGGCCACATAATGAGTTGCAAATATTTTTTAATGTGCCTTGAACATTATAAATGTCTGCATTATTGTATTCTCATGGTGGTATTTTATATATGGATTTGTAGCTTCTTCCTTGTCGCAAAATCCTCATCCCTGCAGATTGACTGTTGACACAAAATCAATTACCAGATAAGAGGCCTAGAAATTCTATTGCATAGTATGAATAATTATTAGGGCTGCAACTTCTATCAGTGTAAATTGATTATAGTCGATAGTGAGAATCGTTTGGCAACGATTCTCATCATCAATTAGTCGATTTTCGATTAGTTGCCGCCGCTCTGCTCCATGTTCCCCTTCCCACTGGTGCTGGCTGCAGCGGCCTATGTCCCTATCAATCCCTGCTGCTCTCCCCGCCTGCTTCAGCAGAGGTAGCGGGAACACAGACCACTGCAGCCGGCACCAACGGGGAGACTGCGGTGACTCTGCAATCCCCCACTGCCCCCTCACACCTCCGCTGCTGCTTCGTTCCTCCTCCTCTGCCCGCCCCGTTCATCCTGCCGTACCCCGCTCTACCTGCCGTGCCTTGTTCTGTGCTCTTTTGCTCCGGCCGTGCCCCCTTCCTCCTACCATGCCCCATTCTACCTGCCCTTCCTCTTTCCGTGCCTCGTTTTTCCTGCTGTGCCTTGTTCTGTGCCCCCGTTCCTCCTGCCGTGCAGCTCAATAGTATTATAGTATAACTGTGTGTGTGTGTACTATATTGCCAAAAGTATTGGGACACCCCTCCAAATGATTGGATTCAGGTGTTTCCGTGAAATTTCCTTGCTACTAAATATTCCACGGTCACCTGTAAGTGGTATTATAAGAAAGTGGAAGCGCCTGGGAACAACAGCAACTCAGCCATGAAGTGGTAAGCCACATAAAATGACAGAGCGGGGTCAGCGCAGGCTGAAGTGCACAGTGCGCAGAAGTCGCCAACTGCCTGCAGAATCAGTAGCTACAGACCTCCAAACTTCGTGTGGCCTTCAGATTGGCACAACAACAGTGCGTAGAGAGCTTCATGGAATGGGTTTCCATGGCCGAGCAGCTGCATCCAAGCCTTGCATCACCAAGTGCAATGCAAAGCATCGGACGCAATGGCGTAAAGCACGCCGCCACTGGACTCTAGAGAAGTGGAGACGTGTTCTCTGGAGTGACGAATCACGCTTCTCTGTCTGGGAATCTCTCAGAACTAACTAACCCATCTAATTCCTAAATAGCTCTGTCCTAAGCACAATTGTTCTAATGGTCATGCATTTAATAGTTTAAAGGCAATTTAGATATTCAAATATTTTTATAGTTTCATTAAAAAGAAACCTTTGCTGACAGGCTGTCATTGTAGATTCCTTGCTATAAAAATGCTAGTGCAGGACATTTGAACGGCTTTAATAATTTTTAATAGCAGGAGTCAATGGCAACATATTATGCCAAGATAAAAAAAAGCTCTCTATGGCCCTAAAAAAGAATGCTGTGGATGCCTAGGAGTCTGACAAGTATACATTATATTAGAGGGTTAGTTACTTTTCCTCCTACAGGAGTATTAAACTCTGTCAAGTGTGTTGAGAGGAGAGGCATTTGGTGGAGGTCAAAATTGTTCTACTGTCACAGCTGCTGGTTTTTAAATCTTTTCTTACCTTTGTTGGCTTATTGCCTTTTTTCGAATGTGCATTGGTAGAGTAGTCAAAGGAGAAGCCTTTTGTCCCGCACTAAATTATAGACACTAGATGGCAGGAAAAAGGGTCCTCTTATGCTTATTGATTCTTTAGGGACATGTAAAACAAGCTGGAGTAGAGGTACTCTGCACATTCCCTACCAAGAAGAGGTCTTGTGTGCCTACAGAAGATCTAGGTCAGTGATGGCGAAACTTTTTGAGCCGGAGTGCCCAAACTGGATCACTAAACCAACTTATGTATCTCAAAGTGCCAACCCTTCAATTAGACCTGAATACTCTCAGGGGGGCTCTGCAGTTCCGAGGTGGTCTGTACGGGCTCTCAGGGGGCTGTGCGGCTCTCAGGTGGGCTCTGTGGGGTTTTTGGTATTCTGTACAGGCTCTCCAAGGGAGCTGTGCAGCTCTCAGACGGTCTATTATGGCTTTTGGGTGGGCTCTGTGGTCCCTCTGGTGGTAAGTATGGGCTCTCTGGGGGGCTGTGCGGCTCTCCGGTGGCCTATAAGGGTTTTCAGGTGGGCTCTCAGGTAGTCTGTTTGGGCTCTCAGGGGGGCTGTGCGGGCTCTCAGGGGGGCAGTGTGGCTCTCGGGTGGTCTATAAGTGCTTTCAGGTGGTTTATATGGGCTCTCTGTGGGGCTATTCTGCATTGCTGTATAATTATCATACAGCAATGCAGAATACCACCAGCTATGCGGGAAGTCCCAGCAATACATTATAATGAAAGTCGGCTCTACACAGCAGAGGCGTAACTAGAAACCTAGTCTAGAAGGGGGCAATTATTATCGCTGCCTGGGGGAGAATTGTTTTTAGGCAGGAGTTAATTTAAAAAAAAAAACCCCATGAGTAATTAAAAAGAATAGCATTCTGTAGATTTATGTTGTCGCTTTTTTTTTTTTAGAGAGGATGTTGGCACTTGTTATCAATAGGGTTACTATAATGTTATAATCCTAATTGTGCAATCGTGGTCAGTTTAATTTCTTGCCATGCGATTATTTTGGCAGCCAATAAAGGGTGGAAAACATATTTTCTATATCTAGCCTCATGCATCTCTGCCAGATGATGTTTTTTTTTTTATCGTGGAAAAAAGAAAGATGATTGTTTTATTTTTATTATGGGAAACAGAAATTATCTCTGTCACTTGGTTTATTGGTAGGATATGTTTTCTTATTTTCTCAGAACTAAGAATAACAGCCTGTCTATCATGGAGCATTTATGTACAGTTTTTTTAGAACAAAGCCCTTTTTTTCCCCCAAAAAAAGTTTTAATGGAGAATTAAAGGGAGAGTGAAATACATAATTAAAGACCGATGTGTGACACTGAAGCTGTCACACGTCGGCTCTATTGATAGGGAAGTCTGGGCATGTGGATTGCCGAGTTCCCGATCCTCTTCCTGCAGTGACTGTCACCTTCCCCCGACAGGGATTCCACACTCCACTTCTTTTTTTGGTCGTTGAGGCCTCGGGTTTTGGGTGTGGGAGGTGTGCTAGTGTATCACGCTAATGTAAAGTCAGAGGTTGAAGTGGCTTTTTTGGTTTTTGTTTATGCACATTACTTTACTGGATATTATAACTCTCTAGATTAAGTTATTTGAATTGATATATATATATATATCTATATATATATAGATATAGATAGATAGAGATGGATAGAGATGGATATATCTATATAATTATTATTGAGCAAAGAACATTACAAAAATGACCACTACGCACGGAGAAAGTACATGCTGGGAGACCTCTATCTAGGGTCAGCCCAATAATTCCCATGGTGCAAATCCAACCCTGGAAGTATGTTATAACTGACCTGGGATGGCTAATCGGTTCACAATGACTCCTATTGTAGCAGTGGGTAAAATACAAAAACTATACTTGAGAACCTTGTTCTCAAGTACCTTGTTCCCTTGTGTACTGGGAAGTGTGTGTGTTTGCATGTATGTGTGTGCATGCAATACTGTATCTCTCACTCTCTCCATATAATATATACATACATTGTATTGTGTAATTTTTATATTTTTATCTGCTGTGACAACCCAGGAATTCTTACATGCCCATATACCAAAGATGGTTAAGGTCTGTCAATGGAATTTAATTAACATGAATATGTTACACCCCTAACAACTAACCCTGGCGCCTTTTGGATAATCCCTAACAGAGCATTTCCCTGCAGTTTGTCAGTATGATGCCTAATTTAAATCCCATTTTATAGCTCGTACACATGTTGCTATGCAGATCATTGAGCCTTAAATATCATTCTATTCTTTCTCCGCAGAGTCGCAGAGATATGCAGTTTTTTGCATGCTAAAACTGGACCAGGAAATATTTGACACAGACATGGTAATCGTGGACAAAACCATGACTGATATATGTTTTGAGAACATAATTGTATTGTAAGTACCTTTTTTGTGCTTTGTGTTCCTTGGTACCTACACACAGAAATTTGCAGTAAACTATCGTCCTTTGAGCACTTCCTAGTGACGCTGCTGTATAAAGTAACAATGTTTAGCTCATTGCCCTGAAGCAACCTTGCTGTTGCTCTCTTGTCCTTGGTATCGGGCTGCTTGCAAGGCTAGGTAAATAGATTTGACATGTTTCTGAGTTTTACCCTGTTCTGCAAGTGAGTTCGAGAATCTGTCACTTTGTCTACTCAGGGGAATATAACCCGTTCTTTTGATAGGGTGTCCCCCTTCCCCAGAAAGATACATTCTTCCCCTTTGCTCCCTATTTATCTACTTCTTTCAACTGTAAGAGTTCCGGGTCTAAACACTGTGTATGCTCCATGTTGATCAATGCGTAAATTAAAAAAAGTTTGGGTTTAGAGTATTCCTCCAAACTTAGACCAAAGTGCACTTATTCTTTTTGCACTCTTCCCCCGATCTAAACGGTTCCTTTACCGCCCTCCGAAGATCTATACTTAATGGGATCCAAGAGTGTCTGTTCCATTGTTTGTTGACATCTTGCAGTGCAAGTCTAACGCCTGGCTGCGTCCATCTCCCTGCTGGGAGAAGTTCCCATAGAAATCTATGGCGCTTTAATGTGTAGAGTCAGCCAGCAGAGGTATCATTGCAACGATGGATGTAAGCAAAAGGTAAACTGTGCCTGATGGATCTCCATAAGTACGGGTCTGCAGAAGGGGATTTTGGGATTTTGTAGGCCAAAAAGGATAAGCCCACTTTGTTTTAAAGTGGACTTATCCTTGAAAGCAAAAATTGTGCATTTGGTGCAGTTGTCCTTTAAATTCCCCCTGAGTGCAGCCTACCTGGTTAAATACCGTACTTGAATTTCTCTCTGTTCCAGCAATATTTACAGTGTGGCCCACACCATTTCTACTGAAAACGCCCCACTGGGTCCTCTTTCTCCTGCGTGTGTGTGCTGCCGCCCTATTCATTTTTTTGAGAGAGCCGTACCCTTAGGAATTGGTCCCCCACACACATGCTCAGGAAGAAGACCTGGTGGAGACGGATTGCCTGAAAAGGCTGTGCAGGGCCACGCAGTGAATATTGATGATACCGGAAGGAATATGTTTAACCAGTTGGCTGCACTCTGTGGTGTGGGGGCATTCATTAAAGGATCGCTGTATCAAAGGTACAGTTGTCTCAGTAGTTTTTAAGTGTTTTTTAAAAGCATATTATTGTTATTGTACTCTGTGTAGTAGTTCTCAGTGGTCAAGTTCTCTGCCCCTTTCTTAAAGTTGAACTCCAGGAAAAAAATTAGGGCTGCAACTAATGATTTTTTTCATAATTGATAGTTGGCCGTTTTAATTTTTATATGATTCATCGAAGAAAAAAAAATATTTAATTTAAAATAAAATACACATATGGACTACAATCTCACATTTAGTTTATTAATTTGCACTGAAGTTATAGGCTTTCACGGGAGCGAGGTTGTAGCAGTGACTACTTTACAACACACACAGGGACCATGGGGAATAAAAGTAGCCACCCTCCAGAAGGAAGGACAGTGTCGGCACCAATTCAGAGATGATTTGAGGATCTACAGCCAAGTGATACACAAATAAGCTTCATTTCTGTTAACATTTAAGTACCTGAATGCAATTTGAAGATTTAACTCCTGAGTTTAGTGTTCAAGGCCATTAAATCCACATTTTAATGTGTGTAAAAAGTGAAAGAAAATTGCTCAGGCTGCGAAAGGATTAACATTGTCCAGTTATCTGGATATATACTGGGGGGAATTTATCAAAGCACTTGCAACAGTTTTAGCCTCTTAGATCATTTTTTTTATGTGCAAATCTGTCTTTTAACATGTGCCCTCAGAGCTTGCGCTACTTTTTCAACTGCATGTTTTTTGCACCTTTTTTGCATGTGTTTTCATCTGCACTTGTTCTGGGCTGTCTGAAACTGGAACATCATCTAAGAAAACACTCGCAACTTAAGTCCCCATGAGCACTTCTTCAAGATGCGACAGTTCAGCTTTTAGCCTAGAGTTAGAAGTCTTCTTTCTTGGAGTCTGTTAAACCTCATTTATTAAACAATATTACACTAGCTGATAAAACTGGTGCAAATATATTCTGTGCAAGTTCAAACACTTTCAATTGCTTTGCAAAGTGCAAAAAATTTCCGTGCAAGTTCAAACACTCGCAACTGCTTTGATAATTCCCCCCAGTATGTTTATAGCTCTGCAAATGAGTACATAGGGAACACTGCTACTGGAACTAGACAAATTACTACAAAATTCTTATGCATGTACTATTTTACAGTTAAGTGTTCTGTGCTTTTTGTTTGTATTGTCTGGTTGTTTTCTGTCTCACTTGTGCACATAATAAGGAAACTATGATTAATCTATCTCAGCTGTTCATGTGCTTTAATGTGAAATTGATATTGTTTTGATGGTGATATGTAACAGATGTTTAATTGTATTTACAGCACGGAAGCAAGACCAGACTTTAAGTTAAAACTGGAAGTATATAGCTGCTGCATGGAGGAATCATCTATAACCAACACTCCCAAGAAACTTGCACGGAAGCTCAGAAACTCAATTGGGAAATCTGCTGGGAAGAAATTTAATTCAGAGACCGAAGAATCTGAGCCAGAAGCTTTTGTGTTCTCAAACCTTCACATGCCGTGAGTTATTTCTGCAACTTTTAATGTTACTAAGTATACATGCTCAACTTCTTTTTTTTTTTCGCTGGGAAAACTGGATGACTATCTTAAGTAGTGTTTTTTTTTTCTTTTTGTCTTGGTTGATGGTAATTCTTAGCAGAGTAGTACACTGTCAATACCTCTAGATGTCACTGTTGTGATTTGTGGTTCATAGTTTTGTATTGATATAAAGGCCTCTACAGGTAATGCTGGTATACTGTTTGTAAGATCATACAACAAGTACATCCTTGTATGAAATAAATTGATAATATTGAGGAGTTATCTAGTTCATTTTAAAAGGAATGTGTAGTTTTAGTGAATGCATGTTTTTAGTTATTGGAGCATTTAACTTGTGTTACTTTCACATTTAATTTTTACATGCATGCTTCCATATTTTTGTTGTATTCAAAATATATATTTGTTGGCTAAACACTAAAGGCCGTGCTGCACTTATCACAGTCTCATTTAATATTCCTGCTTGTCAACTGTTATAAGGCATCAGCTGTGCATGGAGGAGGTTGTTCAGGGAGTCACACATTTACATTGTGAGAAAGTACTGTTGTGTAACACTGTAAAGCAGGAAGCAAAGCCCTGATCATAATGAAGAATGACTGCCTATGTGTACTTTACAGATAGAGCTGCAACAACTAATCAATGTAGTCAATTAAAATCGACTATGGAAAACGTTGTCAATGTTTTCCATCATCGATTAGTCAGCTATCGATTAGTTAACCCTGCTCGCGGCTCCACACACGACCCGAGCCGCGCACCAAACGACACTCCTCTTCTCCTCCCCGCTCTGAGCTCCCTGACGCGCCGCTGCCCGCCAACGATCGAAGGGGAACGGAACCTGACAGGCCCACGATCCCGCATCTAAAAGTAAGAGTGCCTGCTCCCCCTGCACCCCCGACATGGCGATTGGGATTTTTTTAATGTATTGCTGGGATAGTGGGAACTGTTGTATTCTCTATAGCTGATGGTACATTGCACTGTATATGTACCATCGGCTATAGATGAATACAAATCCCAGCAATACATTATACACTGTATGTTTATTGTATTGCTGCTATTTGTTCAATTCCTCTATAGCTGGTGGAATATATTCTGCATTGCGCTGTATAATGATTATACAGCGCAATGCAGAATACCATCAGCTATAGAGGAATACAACAAATCCTGGCAATAATACATTATAGTATAATGCATTTGCTGGGATTTGTTGTATTCCCCTATAGCTGGTGGTATTCTGCATGCATTGCGCCGCAGTATAATTTATTATTGCTGAGATTTATTGTATTCCTCTATAGCTGGTGGTATTCTGCATTGCGCAGTATAATTATAAAATGCAATAGTTTACCACCAGCTATAGAGGAATACAACAAATCCCAGCTAGCTATTATACAGCGGCGCAATGCACGCAGAATACCACCAGCTATAGAGGAATACAACAAATTCCAGTTAGAATACATTACACAGCGCAATGCAGAATACCGCCAGCTATAATATACTATTGCCAGGATTTGTTGTATTCCTCTATAGCTGGTGGTATTCTGTATTGTGCTGTGTAATGTATTATTGCTGGGATTTGTAGTCCTCTATAGCCAGTGCCATTCTGCATTCATAGCTGTATAATTTTACACTTTCCATTTCACTATATTGCACACCACACTTTTTTTTATTTTTATTTACTTCCACTGCTCCAAGCTTGTTCCCATGATGGGCTACAATCTCAATACAAACTAGTAGTCCATCACTGGAGCCATTTTATTTATCCGATTTAATCGAACTTAATAATCGGCTAACCGATTTTGAAAATACGTTAGCTGCTGCCCTAATTACAGACTATACATAGAAAGCAAATCAAAGTTTTTTTAATAGTACATTACAGGACACAAGATCATTAGTTCTATCCCTGGGTTATACACAGCTACCTTCAGGTGATTGGACACTGGCAAAAAAAAGCCCCCCCACACATAATCCCCCCCCCCCTCTCTCTCTCTCAGCAAGCCACAGTTTTTGCTAGTGTCCTTAGGTGATGAACTTCTTCCTACTGACAGAAGCTTACCTCCTTTTTGGAGGGATCTTCCTTTTTTCTTAAAGATTCTGCTAGTCGGTCAACTGCTCTTAAGCCTCCTCCTTTTTGCAGCTTTCCGTTTGGTTTCTTGGCTGAGCCTTGGTGGACTGTAACCGGAAATGCCTGGCGGAAGACATGGTGGGCCTGCAATTTTGTTCTGGGCAGTGGATCCTGCGTGGGCCCTCACCGCATTGAGGTGGCTGCAGGTGCTATACAGGTCCATGACCATGGTCCTTCAACCTGTGGAGCTCTGTCCCTGAAGACCCATCTGTGGTTATGCTTACCTTGACGGGCATAGCTAGAATAGGGTTTGTCTCCAACATACTACTACTGTAAGTCTGGGCTCTCTGCCCTCCCCTGGTGCCTAGAGCACTGTTGCGCAAGTTAAGCCTTGTGGCAATTGCAGAGCATATACTGCAACATTTTTAAATGAGGTGTAGCAGGCATTCGGCACCGAGTCCCAAGGGCCATTCTGTCGCGGGGTATGTTGGAGGTTGTTCCACTGTGCCTGAGCATTCTCCACCTCTGGGAGGTGTTGGGTGCTAGTCTCTCTCACTTTATAATATGGCCGTACAACTTAAGGATACCATTGCTACATTTTATTGATGCAGTCTGATGTTAGAGCAGCCTGAGTCAGCCCATACTGAGGTCTCCAGCCTGGGTTCCCTAAAAATGCCCACACCTGCTAAGACCTTTTCAGTCCACTCACACTTTGTGCGGGTTCTGTACAGTGACTGGCCTCACTCTGAAATGCTTTTTGTTCCTCTTAAATGTTTTGCTCAGTAATACCCTATTGAAGATAGTTTCTTTTAGAAATGGACTGACTCAGTGGGGGATCAAGCCATTTCTTGCCCTAACAAGACCTTGACTATTCTGGTGAAAGATGTTTCCCTTTTTTAAGGACCTGGTGGGTAAGAGGCCAGAAGCCCTCTTTAAGACCTTGTCTGGTCTGGCTGGTCCTTCCATGCAAATGCATCCATGATGGTCTGCCAGACCCTTCTGGTCAAGAGCATGGTGCGGGTTCTATTTTGATGAATCCATCTATGCTCCAACACCTGGAGCTCCTCCTTGAGGTCTTCCACTACTGTGTTGACAGTCCAGCTGATGAGATTCACCAGATATCCAAGATGAGCTTCCTTTTTGTATTCACATGTGAAGGATACTTTGAATTAAGTGTTGTTCAGCAGAACCCCCGTGGAAAAAGCGCTTTCAGAGGTTTCCCTCTGAAGGGGGACCCCTTTTTTGTACGTCTCCGGATGGCGAAATATAGGAAATCACAAGGGGGTAAAGCTACTCTTATTACTCTTTGCAGGTTAACAATGCAGATATTAAGAAAACTATGGAAAAAAAAGTTGCCCCATAGTTCTCCTGTAATATCAAGCTGGCTTAATTTACATGAATATCTACAAATCATTGAAAGACTATACAACTTGACATGGTAAAGGGGGGAGGTGGGTGATTGAGGATGGGGTGGGTCCCTGGCTAAGAGGGGGAGATTTTCTTTTTTTTTTTCCTATTACATTTCATTATTTTCTTTTACCTTCTTTCTTGTTCATCTCAGAGTTTTTGCCCTCTTTACCAGGCCTGACTGCTGACCTTTCATTTAAGAATTGCAACGTATTAAAACCAAATAACATTTGTTTGTAAACTCTCTTTACCTTTAGAGGGAATGTATGGTCTTTTTCTATTTTAATGGTTATTTTATTCAGTACACTCCAGATAAATTGAAATGTATGCCTAGGTATCTATACAGAAACCAGCCTGCCAGCTCAATTCTACATTCAGACGTTGCTATTGTACACCAACACTATCCTCGCCACTCCCATTTGTCAGTAATCTGGTGATATAGGAATCCCTGCTTTTAATGCAGGTGAGTTATTCCAAATTACTCAGAAAAGTTGATCACTTCCAGTCAGTGTAAAAGGGGTCAAAGCCATTATTGCACAAGCAGCACATGCTTTTGTTGTCCAAATCATGAAGAGGACCTTGGTGGGTGCTTCCCGGCATTCTGGATGGCAATGTACTGATTTTGAATATTTTAGCTAATGCATGTTTCAAGCTTTATTGTTAACTAGTTAACACTAGTCCTTGCCTGGGAAGCTCGTAACTGCTAATCTTCTTTGTCACCTCCCAGGGGAGCAAAATTCAACTTACTGGCTCATATAACATTCGCATTGGATAGTGTGGAGGACAACTTTAGAACCCATACCCTTACTGTGGATGGGCATGGTAAGTGTCACTGTATTAAATGTTTATTGCAGTTCGTTTACCTACTTTACTATCTGCCCTTAGTGTATATCTGGGTAAAATAATAAAACCATATTCAGTACACCTTGGCAATACATGCTCATTTCCCTATATTTCATCCCTTTAAAGCACAGCACAGAAAAATTCCTATTTATTTAATCGTGCAGTACAAGATGACTGCCAAAAATCTAGTGAGCTCCAAACCTTTTGTTTTGAGTTATCTCTGCGCCGCAGAAATCACAACCAGTGTTGTCAGCCCTGTTCTGTGCTGAACTACAGAACTCTTCCTTTCTATGCCTTCTCTGTCACTCTCCACATTACATTGATTACATACATTGATTTCTTTCCTTGCAAGGCAATGCTGCTGCCTTGACTTCTAAGAGCCTGACTGCCCACTGTAGGTAGGGAAAAGAGCTTTTGGGCAATGTAGTGCTTGGGGTGTGCTTACATCAATAAGAAATTACCTCCCAGCAGCTGCCCCTGCAACAAATTCACAAGCCTGGGGATTTCTTGCTACAGGAACAAGGTAAAAGAAACCAATAATTTTGGGACATGCTGTAGAGGTAGGTCTAGAATAACTTTGGGTAACGCCTGGAAATATACTTTAGGATGCAATAGGACTATCGAAAATACAAGAATAATCTGCAGATAGGTTTTTGAGGGACCATAAACGTTGATCTCAGAATTCACCCACAAAAAGAGTTGTGGCAAGTGTTCCTCCATTATGTTACTGTATGAAAGAATCAGAATCATTTGGCAAATATTATATTTCATGGAAGAACCCTTACAGGGTAAGTTTATTTTTTATTTTTAATACACCGTAGTTTGTGGCCAAATTTTGTTTGGTCACTACCATCCTGTGTTTTTATAGTGCATGTCATACAAGCTCTTTGTCATCTGCAAACAGCGATGCTGGTGTGTCTTTTGTGTTACTAGTATTGTCAAAACCTTGCTGGTGCCATGTTGTGTTTTTTTTCTTTTCTTTTATACGTATGTCCTAAATATGACAACATAGTTTGTATCTTGTAACACCGACGTGTGTGGGTAGCTTTTAGATGTATTTAATAAAATACATTTCCTTTTTGTTATGCAGAGGAATGTTCCTTTTGGCTTCCTTTATATGGAAGTCTATGCTGCAGTTTAGTTGCTCAGCCAACCTGTTTGACAGATGAAGTCATGGTGGGGTTCCTTAACCAACAGGTAAGCCGAGTAAAAACCTAAACATTTCGTTTAAAAATTAGTTGCATTTCTATCGATCCATTAGCCACTTGTATACAAAAAAAACTTTCAGATATTGTTGCTTAACCTCCCAAAAGAAAATACACTAACAAAATCAATATTGACACACAGTAGGTAAATGTGATGCAGTTCATATGTATACTGCATCCTTGGCCAGAAAATGAAACCCTGAAAGGATTTATTAATGAACAGATAAAGGCATCACTTTCTAGCATGCCCTTGTGGTATGGTTCCTATCGAACATCTGGAAATTATAAGCATGTTAAGAGGGCAAATATTGCTAATCTTTGGGTTCCATTTCTGAAATGATAGTTTTCTTAGAGGCATGTTTGTAATTGGTCCACCTCTCTGTTCCTCCGGCGCTGACTGGGGAGGAGGCTGGCACAGCTGGCTTTGCCTCTCTAATAGCACGGTGGATCCTGACAATATGGTCAGGATTCATCCCGGCTGCAGTGTGGCTCTGTGCTGTCAGCATATAGCGGGCAATAGTATATATCCTCCTGTGACCCTAAAGAGAACTATGGCAAAAAAAGTTTGGGCCGTAGTTCTTTTATCTTTGTAATACTTGTTCAAATTTATAATAGTTAAGGGGGTCAAATTGAAGAAAGTTAACACTGTAGTGATGGAAAAAATTCTAAGGAGCGGGATCAGAAATGTTCTCAAACTAAATCCCAAGGTTTTGTTCACATGGATGGCAAAGGGACGGTAAAAACAGGCGGTTGATCTGCATCTTTACTGCCCTCTCCCTGACCGCCAACCTAAAATCTAAAATAGCAACTGCTCAGGCTTGTACCCATGTTGCGGGCATGATGCTTTGCAGCTGCTGCATGTGTTCTTGGGTGGATGGTGCCGCTTGCCAAATGTAAGTGTTGCAATCAATGGGGTCGTGCCACAACTGCATGCCGTTCGCTTGGCACGTGGTTGTGCTGTGATAGTGCAGTGCAAAATCCCTACTGGAATGAAAAACAAAAAACAGGGATTGAGAAGGTGGAGCCTATTTGTCCTTGGGCTTTTGTAAAATTTCAATTTTTTTGGTTTAGACTGGTATTTTTCGATTTTATTCGATGCAGACAGCAATATTTTGCAGTAACAGCCACAGACTGAATAAAGCTGGTAGCTTGTTGCATTCCCCACATTAATAGTGGGCTGATAATTACAGTAAACCAGGAGCGATTAAAAAAAATGGCTTCACTATATAGAACTAAAACCTTATTTGGTTTTAATTCGTTATTTTGTGTTTTTATATATTAATGGAGAACCTTTCTGCATTTCCCTTCTAACAACCAATCAGCATGTCCTCTTTCTGTTGCTAGGGTGTTAGAACACATAAGGGAAACCCTGATTCATCGCTTCGAGGAAAACAGATTGTTGTTTAGTGAGAGGGTTCAATCACAGAGCATAATAGCTTTGCTTGGGATGTAAATAAAGCAACAGGATAATAAATAATTCATCATACACGCCCATATGTCCACTGTAGCTAATCGGGCATGACATGGTCATCTGTTGTTAGATGGGCAGAGAAATTGTCTAACAAATCTAGGTCACTGTAAATATGAAGCCTGCCATAAAGAATTGTTCCTAATTATTGTTTAAAGTACAAACATTATCTGTTTTTAGTGGGTGCAGCCAACTGTTTTACTGGCTTTTTAGTGCCCTGGTTGGTGATATTGTAAAAATACATGTCATTTCTGTGACCAGCGTGAACCTAGAGACCCATTATATATTCCTCTTCTTCTGTACTTGTGTTGTTTCCATGGCTTACACTGGTTAACCCTACAATGAACTTCACTTCAATGGTCATGTTTGGTCTGTTAAATATACTATTTAAATTGTTTGTATCTGTTTTGAGAAGTACAAAAAATTCCTTTTAGTTCCGCCATAAATCCAGGGATAACTGAACAAGGAGGGTTTATGGGGGATGAGAAGAAAGCTGTGTCCTTTTGTAATCCATCAGAAATGAAGTGAGCAGGACTGACACAAAGTGCTTAGCATTTCAGAGCTTGGAAGACGCTGTGTTATGTCACAGAGTAAAGTAGGAACACTCTATATTTCTGGCACATCAGTTTTTTCTGTACTTTCTGCATGATAAAAAGGATAAAACGTTAAGGAACGTGCATGGATTGCAAAGATGTGGGCAATATGGTTTTTTTTAGCCTGTTACATATAATATATCTGTTTGACAGGTTTAAAAACATACCTGTTGATTCTAACAGAAAACCAGCGAGCTGATTAGTTGCTTTGTTCCCAGTTCCCTGAACTATAGAGCACCTGCAATGACCCGTCCCGTAATGTCATGCGGAAGGGGAGGTGTTCTGCAGTCCTAATGTCCTGTCCTAGGTAGACAAACCTGCTCCTTCATGTCAGCCTAGGACAGGAAGCGTTACTGGCAGGATCACCTGGTGAAAAAAAAAGGTAGAAAAAGATGGAGAAAAACCTAATGCTGCTACCACATCAAAGACTTGGAGAATCCAAATCTAAATGCAAAATTAAATCCAAATATAATCCAATTGTAAACTGCAACTTTAGGCAACAATTGTAATCCGTCAAGAACTGCTAGCATTGGGCATTGCTACCAATGGCTAATTTCCATCATGTATTAAATGGGGAAATCTCCTTAGGCCTCGTTCATATGGGGTAATATGGCATTCCTGCGGCAGGAACCTACGAATTCCCGCAGCAGTGATGCCAGGTGTGTCCAGATGTGGCCACTGTACCCGTTAAGGAAAACGACTGGGTGCCAGTGGCCGCACCTGTAAGCGGATATGAAACAATAACGTGGTTTGGTATAGATCACTGTTGCTGGACACAGGAGAGATGCGTCAGTCATCTGTTTCAAACCACCTGTAATCGTGTCATATACGAATACATGTGGACTGCCTCTTACAGAAGCAGCAGCTGTCACACTGTCATTAACTTGAATGGGTACCGTGGCCCCATCTATACCTATGAATTGCTGGACCAGGAATCCCAGATCATCCTGTGTAAATGGGGCTTAACCCCCTTTGGGTGGGTGGGCCTAGAGCTGGAAATGATAATTTTAGCATTTTAAAATCGGCAGATTACAGCTATAGACGCTGGAGGTTGTATTTCCTCATTTCTCTCCTTTCTGCATTCAGGGGGCTTTTAAACATTCAAGTACATTTCTGCCTATTCACACTGCAGCATAGGCACTAAAAATACATCATACTGCGGTCTCTTTTTAGTGTAGAAAGTCTACCTTCTTACCTGCAGCTCTGTGTTCTGTGATTTGTGTAAAGTGGTCAGAAATGTATTTCGAGAGAACAATAAAACCATCTTTTATGTGGACTGAATTTTGTCTAGGCAATGCTGTTTGCAATTTTGATTTTGTAATTGTTCCAGGAAATGGTTGGTGGTGTTCGAAGCTGCATCAAGCTATATTGCATACTGAAAGGTGCTAATCTTTACTGCTACTACACTCCAGAAGAGATTGAGGCAAAAATTGAACCAACAATGACCATTCCTATTAACAAGGTACGCCAGAGTGTAAACATTGTAATTTCAGCATCATTCTTTCTTTTTTTTTTTTAAATGGCTAATCTGAAACACTAATTTGTTTTAGTTGATTGACCTGTGTTTCTGGGTTGTTGGAATCTTTGGAAGCTATGTAGAGTTGTATGCTGGCACATCAAAGTGCCTGCTGGTTATCCCTTTTAGCTAATACCACTATTTAAAATCAACTTGTGACCAGGCTATGGATGTTTCAAGGTTTTGAAGTATTTACACATTCTTAACAAGTAAATGAGCTCGACAACAAGCCCTACCTGACCTAATTGGCTGAAAACACTGTGGAGCAATTCATCCTTGAAGTTCAAAGCAGAGGCATGGAAGTTCTTCAAGTCACTCTCTCATTACTTCACTCACTCTGCTCCCCCCTACCAGAAGTCCTGTGCTTTGTTTATAAAAGACTAAAGATTACTATAGTACTAAAATACAAGAGTACTAAAGATAAGAAGGCTAGAAAGCTGATGAGTCACTACTAGGATGGCAGGAGCAGGGCAAGCTGGCTTAGAAAAGGACTTCAGTGCTGTGAACTGTCTAGTGAGCACAGATTATTTAGAGGGATACAATCACAGGTTTCACACTTCATTATTTGGTGAATATGCTGTCAGTACTGACATTTTATGTCACATGGGCAGCCATATTTTTCTCCTTTTATAGGTCTTAAGTGACTATGTTAAGCTTCATAAAAAATATCTGCTTGTCTGTCCTACTATGAGTTTATTCCCTTTTAAGCTGGCCATACACAAGTAGAATGTTGTTAGAAATGTATTTTTGGGGTGGTTTGATCTTCTAATCATGGTTAATAGGGTAAAATCAATGATTGAGTTCGACTACAGTGACGAAAAAAAATCAAAGGCGCCAGATGGGAGAATTTGTTCACGGACGAAATTTTTAACAGTACAAATTTGAAACCAAATTAATTGCAAAATTGAATGTTCAAATCAAGGAACATTTGAAATGAGATTCTACAATTCTCTGATGGCATTATCGAATGTTCAGAACATATCAATATTGAGCAGCTTTAGACTGAGCACGGGTATAATTTGGACTGAATATTCAGGGATCTATTTATGTTTTCTCCTAAGATTCACACAACTTTCACACCTTTTTAATTGAATCTAATGTAGCAAATGTGTGTATCTTTGCTGTAAACATTGACAAATGGACCCCTAAATGTTCTGTCCAAATTGTACCCGTGTTCTCTGGACGTTTTTTGTTACCAGCGTAGGAGGTTATATTCCATTTCCCCAGAAATGTCTTATTTGAATAAAATGCTTGTGTTTCAGGAAACGAGAATCAGAGCTGTAGAGAAAGATTCCAAGAAAAGGACAAACAGTTTTTCCGTAATCAACATTGTGTCTGGCGAAGCCATAACTAAAGTATTTTCAGCTGATAGCCGAGAAGATCTTCAGAAATGGATGGAAGCTTTCTGGCAGCATTTTTACAACCTCAGTGAGTGAATCCAACTGCTGATGTTTGTCATTTTTGCCAATCCCTAATATAACAAGAACACTTGGTGTTTGTAAATGTTCTATTTATAAAATTTTTTGCACAATATTCACACCGCTTTCACGAAGGATTCGCACATTTATCCAGTTACAAAAATATATGATTCTTTGGTGGAAGCTGTGTAAAGCATTTATAAATCGACCCCATAACCTTGTTTCTCAACAGGCATTATTAAGAACTGTCTGTGGTGCTTCATATCAGCCATTCGCAGTCAATATTTTTTTCAGCTGTCATCTCCTTGCTAGGAATTGAAAAAAGCAGTTCTTGTGTTGCATTCCGCTTACCAGTTTCTGTTGTATGCATGTTTTTTCGTAGATATTGCTTTAACGGGTTCAGTGGCAATGAAAATTGAGGCCAAAGGCAAAAGAATTCTTGTCCATACCAGGCAGATTTCACTTTTTTATTCTGTACCGTGTAGAATAAACCTAGATGTCTTATAGCAACAGTTTTCATTTTCCAAGCCTGTGTCTTCACTATTTAGGCCCATTTATGTAATTGTGTATTGCGATTCCTATTGGTCTGCACATGACCTCACTGACCAATGAGAATCTATTCTTTCTTCCGGGATGCTGTTCCAAAGAAGGCTCAAAAGAGAATCTCATTGGTCCCTACCCTCAAGGAGCTTACATTCTAAGGTCCCTATCTCGCACACATACAGGGCTGATTTAGACTGGAGCCAATTAACCTTCCAGCATGACTTTTGGCTTGCATCTGTGAAACGGTGGCAAAATAGGGTACCCCAAATTGTTCATAGATGCTTTAAAAGCCTGTGCAGGTCATCAGTTTAGAGATATCCATGAATATTGCCCCTAGAATTATTGCTCTCACTCTGGCACTTGGCGATACTTATGTGTATTTTCCTACACGGATGCACCCAATGCATGTTCACAATAATATGCGTGCAGGGGGCCTTTCAATTCTTTATATATATATATATCTATATAGATATATATATATATTAATATAGGAAAATAATTATTTGATCCCCTGCAGAATTTGTAAGTTTGCCCACTTACAAAGAGATGAAAGGTCTATACTTTTTATCATAGGTTTATTTTAAAAGATAGAGACAGACAGAATATCAACCAAAAATCCAGAAAAAACACATGATACAAATGTTCGACATTGAGTTGAAGTTCAGTGAGTAAAATAAGTATTTGATCCCCTACCAACCAACAATAATTCTGGCTCCCACAGACTGGCCATGTGGTACACAGATTAGTCCTGTCGCTTTAAGAAGGTGCTCCTAATGACAACTCGTTATGTATATAAAATATATAGCAGGACCCTTTTGGCCTTGGATGCAGCCAAAGCCAGACAGACCGCATTGAGTGGGATTATATTTGGGCTGTCCTTGCATGGTCTGGGTTTGACAAGACGTTTTGCAAGTGGGTTAAATTACTCTATGCTTGCCCCTCGGCCTTTTGTCTGGGTAAATGGCCTGCATTATTCTACCTTTTACATTGCATTGTGGAACTAGGCAGGGGTGTCCTCCTTTTTCTACTGCTATTTGTGGTGGCAATTGAGCCCCCATCTTGTCTGTTGTGAAAATCTCCAGATGTAGCTGGGTTTCCTAGGGAATAGGATGAGGAGAATTTCACACTTTACAATGACTTGCTATTTCTTTCTGATACTCACTCCTCTTTCTCATCTGCTATGTCCCTATTTAAGGAGTTTGGGACATTTTCTGGTTTAAAAATTAACTGGAATAGATTTATGCTGCT